TTGGCGTTCGTGAAACAGTGCTCGAAATCATTAAAATCCCCTGATGAGTGGGCAACCACGAAACAGGTCCGTGTAGGGATGTATATGTAGTTGTTTTTTTTCTCCCTACCACACATTATATCCGCCCTACTATTTGTATCGAGCACTGTTTCACGGACGCCAAGTTTTATCCCTCTATCTATATAGACAGTTATATATATGTTTTTTTCGTTCAGTTTTTCTTTTCTCTTAGTAAGTTCCCACCGATAAATATGCTAACACAACAATACTTTGTCGAGGCAACTTTTTGGCAAGCCAACCCGTCAGCTTCAATTCCGTTTACTTGCCTCAGTTTTACTAACTCACGTCCAAACTAATTGAGCGTGCCTACTGGTCACTTCGTTTTCCCGCGCTTGAGTTCGTTTGCATAATTTACCTATTTTCTGATTGGCTGTTGTGATCGTGTCGGTTTCCGACCCTCAAGAGTGACTTGCATCTAATAACTCCAACAGATCATCGTCCATGCACTGTACATGAAGTTTTTGTGACTGTTTATGTTTGAACTTTTAGAATAACTGCCAAAGGACTAAGATTGACTCGACCATCTTTGAGAGTGGGAAGATATAAAATGCTTAAGGCATTTCATCGTCGCACTAGTAAAGCTGACCCAATACGGTACGTGCTGATAATTGATGCTGTCGAACCCTACACGAACTATTAACGAAACAACCAACAAACGTCACCTAATAGTATGATAGGAAACTCGATTCTCTTGCTAAAAAGGAAAGGCTGTTCCTTTCACAGAAAGAAACCGGTCATTATTTATCACCAGGGAGGGGGGAGGGGGCCGGAGGATTTTGGTTGTCTGACGATAAAATTTACCGGATCCCCCTTAACGCTTTGTTTTATCCTCGTGACCTCCCCCTCATTGGAAGTTAATTTTGTATATTCCCTTTTAAACTCTGTTGCGACGACTGATTGCCCCCTCCGTTCCCCCCTAAAACCGCGTGCCCCTCCCCCAGGGGGTGAATTATTACTGTCCGCTAAATGCCTAATGAAAGTCCCCTCATGGACATCTTTTACGTCGACTCTGACAACTGATGAACGAGGTTGTAAGGATTTTTTTTTTTACCAATAAGACGACCAAAAGTGAGTTGAGATAACAGGAACAGGGGAAGTCAAAAACAGGCTATTTTCAAACAAAAACGAGAAGAGTTGTTGAAGTAACGCGCAAGATGAGATCGTTGCTTACGGAAAGGTTCCAGCCATGTGGTGATTTCACAAGAAAAATTGCTGCCCCTTGGAAAAGTGGTTGCTCATTGGAGATACTTGCTTACGGGATTCGGTCACCAAGGGAGGTTCTGTTGTTGTAAAATGTGCTGAAAAAGAGCCGCAGATAGAGAGCACAATTCCCCAGCCTCCTTTAACCCTTTAACTCCTTTGAATTGATTGTTAATTCTCCCCTCTAGCTGCTAGACATTTCCTAGTAAATTAGTGACGAGAATTTGGTGTTAGATCAAGATAACAACTTCTACCTGATAAGTTGGAGTATTCTCATTACCTGTTAGCTGCATGGTAGATGCTTTCTTGGAACTTGTTTAGTCCAACTCATTTATATTCCCATGAAGTTTTGTTTTTCTCAGGAATTCTCTCTTTTCAGAATTAGAATTTACTTAACAAATACATTTTTCAACCTATGTGCAGCCACGCGAAACTGGAAACGTCGGTTGACCGGATGAGTTCCGACGGCCTCAATTCTCTTCATTACATTATCGAGAATTTAACAGAGCATCCCCTCTACACTTTGGTAAAGGTTGACGTGAAAGACGCTTTGGCTGAATACAACAAGTTATATGACATAGAAAATTAACACACGTCAAGCTAGCAAGACACTGACGTCCCTGAGTAACGAGCGAGATAATCAAAGAGAAGGATCCTTACCCACGTGGACAGGACTCATGAATAGCCAGCTCTGCGCGCTATTTCAGGCCAAGATAATTCTAGTTTGAATGGATTGGTCTCGTTTCATATCGGAACACGAACCAGCCAATGATGCATTGAGAGCAGCCTGTTCATTATTTGATCAAAAAACAGGATTCACAAAAAGAAGGTAAAATGACACCTCAGTGACATCGAACTTCAGAAGTATGGTGGTCTACTGTCGTCTTCCCTTTTACCTATAGCTTTCTTTGACCTTCGTATCTGAAAAATGTCTGAGATCGCCCCCATCTGTCGCAGATCGTGATGGCTAAAAGGGTCGATAGAACCATTGGACAATATCTGAGCTGCGGCGCACCAACCCCTCCCTAACCCAACACTAACCCTAACTTGTTATCAGTTGACTGTTGTTGGATTAGGGGATGGGCATGTGTATAGTTGCTCAGTGTCAGTATATGAGCAACTGCACACTTCCCCCTACCCTGTTTCTGTCGTTCAAGTGGGTTACCACCGCGCCCAACTTATTGATCGACATTCAGCACTACAAACGTCGCATAAGGAAGATTCCGACCGCATTCCATTCATTCTCACGTTTCACCCTCACAACCACTAAGTAAAATCCATCATTCTTAAAAACTTTAAATTACTTCAAAATGATCCAGAGACAATTACTATCTTTTCGCAGCCTCCGCTCATTTCATTCAAACGCGACAAAAACATAGGCAATTTTTTGGTCAGAAGTTCTTTTCAGACTATTGACCAACCAGGCACTTTTAAATGCGCTCGTGCACGATGCAAAACGTGTCCTTTCATTCCCAACACTGATAAAATATCGGGACCTAAACGATCCATTAAGATCGCCGATCACTTCACGTGCACCTCCGCCAATGTAATCTATAACATAGCTTGCACTTATTGCAAAATGATATACATCGGCGAAACAGGCAGAAGACTAGGTGACCGATTCCGAGAACACTTTCGCGACGTGGAAAGGAATGACAAGGACACATCGAAACTAGTCGCTAGACATTTTAATTTACCTAATCATTCTAAGCAACATATGGCAATCTGCGGTCTTTCCTTACACTTAGGTAGCACGGAAAGCCGTAAAACTCTTGAACAAAAGCTCATCTTTCAAACCGGCAGTCTAAATCCCACAGGGATCAACGAACGCTTTTCATTCCACTAATTTATTCATGTTTTTCTCGTTGCCATGTTCCCACCAATAACGTAGCTCCATTTTCTGCCTTTAAAAGCACACACAACCCACAATTCCTCTATTCGCTCCGACGAAGGGCTAACGCTCGAAACGTCAGCTTTTGTAATCGTTACGGTGGCCAATTTACCANTCACATGTAGTCCGTGAGAGCTCCAGCTGCTGGTGCTTCTGGAGAACGCTGTCAGTACTCCAATCCAGGATGTGCTAGGGGCAGCAGGATCGCGTTTTGACTCACCATCTCTAAGTAGTAGTAGTAGTAGCAGTAGCAGTAGCAGTGGCAGTGGCAGTGGTAGTAGTAGTAGTAGAATAATAATAATAATAATAATAATATAGATCAATTTCTATAGCGCATTTCCATGTAAATGCTCTAATGCGCTTTACAACACTGTGCGGGGGACTTTTCCAGACTGCCGGCGGCAGTTTACAATTAATAAAGGAGAAATTTTTACAGATGCCCCCTCCCCCCCTTCCCAGTAAACAGGCCAGACCACATCACAGTAATCTCGTGATGTGGGTTCTTTAACGTCCCTTGCCGAAATTAACTAATTGATAGGTGCAGGAGACGGGACCTCCGGCTTTACGTCCTATCCGAGAAGACGAAGCAATGTGAGTGAAGCGTCTTGCTTAAGGACACAACGTCAAGCCGCAGCCAGGACTTGAACCCGGGCCATCTGACCTAGAGTCCAGCGCACTGACCACTGGACTACTCACGCCTCACTAGAATAGAGTTTCCCCACTACGTGTACCTTTATAACGAAGCGAAAAAAGACCTAGTCTTCACTTTAGTGAATCCTGTGTGAAACGACCAGCCACGGGACTCCTGATAGTGTCAGTTGATATGACACAGCGGTCAAACGTCTGCGCATGTGCGAACGTTTTGACAACTGGCTTGCTTTCAGTCTATCAGAACCAAGTTGCCTCACGAGTTACCAACAAACTCAAATGATTTGGTCACGGTGTTAAAAAATTGGATAACTTTCTTGGTAAAGCTCAAAACAGAATGGTAGATCAGAATGACCTTACCCGAGTTTTTCTTTTGCCTCCTTTTGTTTTCTTTCACAGATTTCTATGAACGTTTCAATTTTCTTTCGCTTATTTTTGCGAGACAGCGGCTTTTGCTTTTGTTTTCCCTAGAAATTTTGCGCGGGAAATTGGCGCGCGGGCGCCCAAAATTGATCCCCTCGCGAATGCCTTACAGGGTGTCTGCGTATTACAGATTTTGGGCGAAAAAGGTATCAATATTAGTTTCGCGTTTAATTGATATTGAAGTTTGTCGAGTGAAGGTGCCTTGCAGTAAATATACAGAAAAAGTCGGGAGGTCAGTGCAAGGGGTATCCGCTTTTTCGAGAGTTCTCCCTCTACAGTTTTTATTGTATCTATTTATGACATTTATTTAACTATTTTAAGATATGATATAATGTACTTTCGGTTTTGTTAAGAAAACAGTGATGACACTTGAAATCTCTTGCGATCAGACTCCGGGGAAATTTGTGGCTTATATCGCATAGTTTTTAAAATGGTCTTAATTACTTTTTAAGGCAATACATGGTCTTGTCCCGGCCTACATAAGTGAGCTGATTTCAGTTAGAGACACCGGAAGATATGATTTACGTTCCAATGACAGCTTACTCCTTGCTCCTTTCAAGGGCAAAACACTCACCACGCTCTACGATCGATTTTTCCACGCGGCCCCCCCTAAATTGTGGAACGATCTTCCGGGCTCTATCAGAAACACCCAATCTTTAAACAAGTTTAAGAGAGCCATTAAGAATGTGTCCACGAGAGCACCAGACAGTCGTGATACATGCCATCTCATCGATTTCAATGAAACTTTGCCAGTTCAAAGGATCTACCCCAAAACTCAAAATTACAAGCTGGTTTCTGCTTTCGTTATTTCCGGGGGGAGATAGACCACCCTCCGGGTTTTTTAGGTTTTCACTAAAAAATGGCCTCAAAATAGGTCAAATGTAAGAAGCTTTTACTGCAACTGTAATTACTGTGACGGTTTGTGTACGTACGATACAAGTTTCAATCGATTTGATTGACGGCTTGTCAATCAACAGGTGAATAAATTGGTGTGTTTTTACATTTTCAAATATTTGGTAACTTTGAGATCAAATATCTCCCCTTGTCAGAAAGCTACAACACTAATTTGAACGCCCCTTTCTAGTCCATTATTTCATCTCTGAAAATCATTTTAAAAAGTCATTGGGCACCACCATATTTTTGTCTGGAATACCTTTTGAAATCTGCAACTGTGAAAGGTTCTCTCAACTACACCTGTCACGCAATTCTAGCTGTGAGCAGTTATTTAGGCAAGTATACCATCATTTTATAGCTCGTGAAACAAGATAATTCATCAAGGAAGCTAAGAGATGTAAGCAACTTTCCATGATTGTCGATAGAAATTGGAAATATCACGTTTAAAGAGAGGCATGTAGGCGAAATATTGGTGGGAGAATCGTACCGTGCCTCCCTTCTGTCGTTTATTTAGGATATTTGCTAAAAATAGGTAAATATGGCTTTCTTACGGCAAAAACATTTATTAGTATTTGATTTGATTGTGTATCATCACAGTTTACAATCAAGAGATTGTAACAGGAGAGGAGATTTTAAAGTCACATGCCGCGTGCTTGTTGACATACAAGTTCCCGAATACAACAACTTCGGCTTTTACATACAGTGGATGACAAGAAACTCTGCTCTCTCGCTTGAAAGGAGATATAGATAGCTCCATCAAGTTCATAAATTGCGTTATTTGTCCAGAAATTAAGACTGGGAAGTGTTGTTGTTGCCACTTACCACCATAATTGAGGATAATGAAATTTCCATGCAAAAAGGGTATTTATATAGCGTGACCTCGTGACCTGTCATAATTATCAAGCCCCTTTTTCAAGGTAACACCAGCAGAATGTTTTGAAAACCTTTATCATTAAAACTGCCTGATTTCCGCCAGCAAATTTCATCTGCATCTGCCATTATTTTCCCTGAATGTTATGGCCTTCCCTGCATGAATGTGTAGGCCAGATGTTACATGGCACTCTTGGGGGTTTGGTTGCGCAGTGACGGGCTCAGGTGTCTTGGTCTCGTTTAGAACATTTCTTATGCTGCAAATGGGCCAGCATCATACGCTTCCGCCGCCTTTTTTATAACCATAATTCAACCAATATTTTTTTTCGGAAACTTTTGTAAATGATAAACTAGACACGTTACATGTACGAGTACGTGATGTTGTCGTGACCCCAAACACAACCATACACGTTTATGTAACGTCTGAAAAATGTCACGCACGTACAACACCGCGTCGTTGTGGTGTCGCAGTGATATGTGTACCCCCGTGATATGTGTATCTCCGCACATATTACTAGTGATATGTGTACCCCCTCCAATATGGCGGCAAGTGATATGTGTATCCCCCACCCCCCTCCCTTCCAAAAAATTAATAATTACTTTTTTTTTTCAAATATAGACTAGTGAGCAGCACTTCTGCGAACAGTAGTTGTAAAACTGTTTTTATTTTCCGACGCGTTTCGTCTAACTGTCGTAGACTTCTTCAGGGAGTTTTGCAAGTATAACTAAACGCCTGTATTTATAAACCAAAGTTACGGGGACCGATGACTGTAGAGGCTTGGCCGGACCTACGAACGGGAACAGGCGAACAGGAACAGGCGAAGTTGTGAAAAATTTAAAACGTGTAAGGCCAAGCCTCTACGGTCATCGGCCCCCGTAATTTTGGCTTATGAAAACAGGCGTTAAGTTATACTTGTAAAACTCCCTGAAGAAGTCTACGACAGTTAGACGAAACGCGTCGGAAAATAAAGACCGTTTTACAACTACTGTTCGCAGAAGTGCTGCTCACTAGTCTATCTTTAAAAAATTATTAAAAAATATTTTAAAAGATTGTCCATAAATGCTTATTTCTAGCGCGTACTCCCCCTTCTTGGAGTTTGTTGATATTTTTTGCATTGACTGGGTTACACGTGCACTTTTGTACAAGGCACATGCAGTTTTAGAGTTTGCCCTTGATTTACAGGTGGCTTGTTATGTTCACAAATTAATAAGCATTATTGTGCTTTGGAACAATGTTAAGTTTTTTGTAGTTTCATTGTTGTTTTGCAAGAATGTGTGACATTTATAACGTAGAAAAAAAGTTTGCTCTGAAATTTTTATTTTCATTATTTTATTTTCTTTTATTTTTATTTTATACACTATGATTTGAGGAAGACTGAAACTGATTGCAAGCAGATATTGCTTATCATGGAGTGGAAATCACCTTTAATAGTACATTAATACTATCAGTTAACAATCATTTTTGATCTATTTACTTATGTTGATT